ATGTGGCAGGTAGTATGGGCCCGTACTACTGAAAGCAGAGGAACCCATACTTGATAACAGGGAGTTTCTGAAGGTTCTAAGGAGCGGATTGAGGAGTGATGTTATGGTTCGGGTACCATACATCAGAGCAGATTGAGGAGTGATGTTATGGTTCGGGTACCATACATCAGAGCAGATTGAGGAGTGGTGTTATGGTTCGAGTACCATACATCAGAGCAGATTGAGGAGTGATGTTATGGTTCGAGTACCATACATCAGAGCAGATTGAGGAGTGATGTTATGGTTCGAGTACCATACATCAGAGCAGATTGAGGAGTGATGTTATGGTTCGGTACCATACATCAGAGCAGATTGAGGAGTGATGTTATGGTTCGAGTACCATACATCGGAGCGATTGAGGAGTGATGTTATGGTCGGGTACCATACATCGGAGCGGATTGGGGAGTGATGTTATGGTTAGGGTACCATACACCGGGGCATATTGAGAAGAGATGTCATGGGAATGAGTACATAGTTCGTAGTGAATGATGTTTGTGGTTCTCCGGTTATCGTCACGAGTAAGTTCGAAGAGGCGTCCCTTGAGAGGGAGATCGAGAGCCCCTCAAAGTATTTAGTAAGGAGTCAGTGGAAGGGAGAATTTGATTTGAGTTGAGCGATCAGTCGATAAAGGAGATGTCACCTCCTATGATCGGGAGGTACTGATTATGTATGTGTGAAAAATATGAGAAGCATGATGTTTTAGTTTTGGGTTTAGGGGTAAACCCTGCAGGTCGTCATTGATGATGATTTCCCACCAGAGTATCAGGTAGCATGTGTGCCGCGAGGCAGTGATTTATATGAGCAGATAGTCAGTTGGGACTAGATATTTGAGGACCACACTACACCTATTTGAGTATAGTAGGAGGTATTATAGTGGTATCAGTGGGGAGTTCAGTCGAGTTCAGCGTGCAGAGAGTTTTTTCTATCCATGGGGTGTTGAATTGGGAGTGGTACCTGTTCTTGGGATGATCCCTGGTGTTGGAGCGTTGGTTGATGAGTTGAGGTTGAGGGGTACGTGATTTTATGGTTCAGTCTATGAGCCAGGGATGTTATTGAGCAGTTGAGTTGTTTGGTACTAGATTGGTACGAGATTTGGAACGACTAGAGGCAGACGTGACGAGAAGTTTCTTGAGGAGTTCATCAGAGGTTCAGAGTATATGAGGTCGATTATTTCCTTAAGGGGATTATCGGGCGTTGTGTAGCACTTTCCAGGGGGCAGGTGCGATTTTGCTGGAGATATAGTTATGGGTTGGTTGTGTGCTATTTGGTGATGGTTCGAACCCTAAGTGGGGGAGAACCGGGTGTCCGTATGTAAGAAAGCAGAGATTTGTCAAGAGCAGTTATAAGTGGAGTATAGAGATATGCGGTAAGAAATCATGAGACCAGAGATGTCGTGATCGAGGAAAGGGGTCAGAGTGAGTTAATGCGGGAAGTACTTGTTTGAGAAGGATGAATGTCTCCACGACAGGTGTTTATTAGTCAGGAATCTGGTATTGGTCAGTGTTGGGGCAAGTAGATAGAAGATGATTGGGTAGCCAACTCCCGGGTCGGTATGCGTATCCTTGTTTGGATTTTGAGCGGCGGGAAAAAGGGTTTCGGAGAATTATCAGCGTATTTCGTAGCGTTAGCGTTTCTTCGTATTGCAATTGAGAAATTGAATACACCGAAGTTGCAACTTGGAAAAAATGAAGATCTAGTTATGGGGTTCAGAGGGAATGTATTATTGCATCTATATGGTGCTTGGAGCAGGAGATCTGTGGTTGTGGCAGGATCTTGTGATGTTCGGTGGGGTGTTCCGAGGTATCGGGTATTGATATCTTTATTTCGAAGTTATTCGTAATCTTGAGTTGAGACGACTTGTGGTATATCAGG